AGAGAGAGAGAGAGAGAGAGAGAGAGAGAGAGAGAGAGAGAGAGAGAGAGAGAGAGAGAGAGAGAGAGAGAGAGGGGTGAGCCCACTACAGGCCACCACGATGCAAGGACGACATTCAGACGGGAGAACACATAGAAGGAAGAAAACTTCCCACAAACACAAAAAAAGAAATTCTGGCCCTACCGGATGCCCCTTCAGAGCCAAAAGAAGTCTGCTCGTATTTTTGCCTGGCGGCCCTGGGCGTGACAAAACGCCCTGGACCGCCCAAAAAAAATTTGCTCATTGGCCAAAGGGTCTGGAATCCGGACAGGGATCCGGACATGTTCACCGGACACCGGACACTGGACGGTCCGGATCCCTGTCCGGAGGTCTGGATCGCTGCCATGGAATCAGGCCAAACGGGCCAGCTAGCACTTCGTGAAATGCATCTGGCAGCAATTAGGGCCAGAAGCGGACAAATCGGGCTGCACATCCAGAGCTTTCCAAAGAAAGTCCTCGTGTGAGCATGCTCCACCCGACACTGCTGCTGCTACGAGAACCCCAAAAGAAAAACGAATCTACCAAGCTAGGAAAACCACAAAAAAAACGGACAAAAAAAAACAAATCTACTTAAAAAGAAGGAACTAACGAAAGGCCTCCACATTTGTAGTGAGGGCCTCGCTCCACGACTCTCCACACGCACATTCTCATTGTCTTTGTTGCATGTGGAGAGTCATGGAGGCCCTGGCTCCGCCACTAGCCAAGAAACAACGAAAAAAAAGGAAAAGACTTCTGCTCACCACGAACGTGCAGAGGGAAAGCGAATCTTCTGCTGGAATACGGGATACACCGGCGCACATTGCTGGCAATTTGCTGCTATGTACTTAAAACCAAACTTGCACGAAAGCCAGCCATACGGGCTCGCGCCCCCCGGTCCCGAGTGTTTTCCCAACACTGTAAGTCGGGCCTTGCGGGGGCGTTGCGCAAGACCGGGCTTATACTTCAGTGAGAGTATAGAATCTATAGATATAGATACAAAAAAAACTAAGCTATATTCTTCTCTCACATTTGTAAACCTCCCACTAGCTACCTACATACCTAAGAGCAAAGGTCCAAATCTAGGCAAAGGTCTGCCTCTAGTCCATCCCAGCCCTACCTATCCCCTCGGGTTGAATCTGACCCCCAGTGTGGATGGAAGGGGGGCATAACTCCACTACCAAGACCCACTAGGGCGCCTGAGCCAGCTACCCCAGGTGGTGAACCCCAATTGTGCCTCAGGGGCGGTGGGGAGCCGAATGGATGTTGTGGGGAACTGAAGCCACTACCTCCTGAAGACACTGACGTGCTCTACCAACTGAGCTTGGACATCTGCCCTTTCTTCTAATATTTTTTTCGATGTTGCAAAAGCTGCAGTTCCTGATGCTATCGAATTGGGCATCGTTTGAAGTCTTCTCTATCGAACAACAGTTCTGGTTTCCACCAGTCTTGCACTACAGAGACTACACAAGAAAACGGGGAAAAAAACCCTTCCAAAAAAGCAGAGCGAAGGGTGCTGGTTTTGCAAATAAAAACTGGCAGACGAGTTTCACATACAGAGCATGGCACGCAACAAAAGGTTGGGAACAGATGTACCTTACAAAACGACACTTGTCAAAGTGCGGCTCGAGTTCCGAGATGTCGTAATGTGGTGCCTTTACCCCTCTGTTGATTACTAGGGAAGACGGGCAGCATGCAGAGGCCCAGAGTTGTCGGTTTTTTTCTGGGTCAAAATTATGAAAGTCCTGTTAGAGCTGAGAGACACCACCGTAATGTGGTGCCTTTCTCCCTCTGGATTACTCTGAAAAGAGCAGCCTATCAAGGAAATACGGAATTGAAGAACAGCTTATGAGGTGAGGATGCACAAAAGGTTTACCACAGGTCTATACTGCACAGAAGCACTGCAGAAGAGCACCAGAGAATCTGGATGTGCTTTCTCCCTATCGTCTTCACCCGAATGGAGCATCCGGTCATTCTAGTCGTATTTGGTGCAATTTTCAGTCCAGATACAGCTACGATGACCGGGTGATCTATTCGTGTGAAGACGGTGGTTTCCAATTCTCCGGGGACATATGCTGGACAGCATATACGATCCGGTGGAATTCTCCGGGGACATATGCTGGACAGCATATACGATCCGGTGGAATTTGCGGACACTACTTGCTGTCGATCATAGAAAAGCTCGACGCTGGTCTAAATCAGAACGGCGGATACTGACCGGAATAGTCAATCGTATTGAGAGGCTCGACGCTAGTCTGAATCGGAACAGCAGATACTGACCTTCTGGGAGTCGATTACCCATCACCTATTGGGGGACACGTGACTAAACAATTCGTGTGAAGCCGCGGTGGTTTCCAATTCTCCAGGGACATATGCTAGACAGCATATACGATCCGGTGGAATTTGCGGACACTACTTGCGGTCGATCGTAGAAAAGCTTGACACTGGTCTAACTCGGAACGGCGGATACTGAACGGAACGGTCGATCGTATTGAGAGGCTCGACGCTGTTCTGAATCGGAACAGCAGATACTGACCTTCTGGAAGTCGATTACCCATCACGTATTGGGGGACACGTGACTAGACAACAACTACAGCATACAACAAGCCCAAGTAGAGGGTATTTAGGTGATACAGAAGGATAAGGGATTGTGAGGGTCTACCAACCGACTTTGCTGAAGAAAGGCTAGCCAACTCGTGGAAAACAGTCAGAGACCCCAGAGAGGTGAAGGGTGGCATTAGTAAACAGGCTGACTGGCGAAAAACACCAAGAGAGGCCAGAGAGGTGCTAACAGGATGCTTTAAATTACACCACAAGTAGTTTTCCCAGCTAAATTTCTTCGATGCAGCAAGCCATCTGCCGTGTCCTTTGGGTTGTACCAGCCTGCCAAGGCTGGCCAAGCAGCCCATCCAAGGTAAAATGAGGCTGTGTGCACGACGGTTTTGTCTGCATGTATTTCCCGCCGCTCGGCAGGAAGGTACAGCCTGAAGGACGTGGCGCGTGCATGGCCGTACTCGAGCATACGAAAAGCGTATCTCAAGTTCATTGCATTCTCAGCAGATACTCGAAAGATGATTGGGCCTGGGGCAGCTGCAGCACCGATGGCGACTACAGCCACATATAAGATTTGATTCAACCACCGCACACGACAGATCAACTACAATCTTCTCTTATCCTTCTCACAAGGCTACGGGAAATGAAAGCGGGGGAAGGGGCGAGAGGATCAATGCTTGGGTCGAACGCTGACTTCTGGTGGTTTTATGCCCAGGCCAGCAGAAGCCTGCCCTCTCCCCGCATTGCCTTATGAATGTGCCAAGCCCATCCCCTTGTAGGACCAAAACCCTTTATAATTCAGAAACCTCACCTCGTCCACAAACACCACGCTTGGTGCAATCTTGCTGGCCAATGTAAATACAGCCTTCACATATTTCTCGCCTTCTCCAAACCACTGTCATACACACAAATACCGCAAAGAGCACAGTCCACTGGCCCACCTGAAGTCAGCCACTGATACAAATAATAAACCAGGAGCCAGGCCCATTAACCAAAAAAAAAAAAAAAAAAAAACCTGCAACAGGGACAAGCAAGAAGAAAGAGTGCCAATCAGGAACCTCTCTTGCATGCTTCAGTCACCGCTCACGCACACAAAATGACAAAGCACCATCTGTCAAAAGACGGGTTTTATGGTCAAACCAGTTCAACAACTCGTTGCTGCTACTCGATGAGGGGTGGGGGAAGATGGGAGGCGCAGCTACTGGAAAAATGCTCCGTCTTTGTGTTAGCCGGCCCCACCCTACTCGCTGACCACCACCGATTAGGAAAGGGGGGCCAACATGCATCCTCTTAATTGTGAGAGGTAGATATGGTTGCAGGGGTCCCCTGTATAGGCTTAGGAGTAGTGATGGGTAGATAGTGGAAGGTGAAATTGAGAGAAGAATATAGCTTAAAAAAAAAAAAAAAAAAAAACTTGTTGGTAATTGAGAGAAACGAGGTAACATCTGTGCCACTCACCTGCACAGCCACAGGAACAACATACTAGGCAACACAACAAGTGTTTGTATAACAATACAATCCCTTTCTCCACGCTTCTCCACTACGCCACATACAACCACACTGGTTCCCGAAAGGAGGCGAGGTAAGACGCTTGGATGAGAGGAAATGCAGCCTCCCCAGGCTTCATTTTTTTTATTGCACGGACAAAGACAGCACGGGATGCACATCCAGCAACAAGGGTGACTACAAATGGACGTGGACATGGCCATGAGGGGCCCATGCATGCATGGCAGAGAAATGGACAGTGGCACACGGATCTCTCTTTCCAAATACGCTCCACCTCCCTCCTCCCTCCCCTGCCGCTCGTCCTGTCCAACCTCCCTCATTGTCCTCTTGTGCTCCTGTGGCTGCTCCCTTTCTAGCTCTCACCCTGACTACCCTTCTACTGCGCCCCCCCCCCCCACCCCTTTTGTCCTCATGTGCTGCTGCGGCTGCTCCCATTCTAGCTCTCTCCCTGACTACCCTTCTCCTGGGCGCCCCCCACGCCCCCCCCCCCAAAACCATTCCCAGAGTTTAGCCAATATGCACATAGAAAAGAGATAGTAACGAAGGCGGAACCCCTTCTTTCCACCTTCAACTCATGAACTTCATAACAACATGCGAGCTGCAGCTTGCAGCTTCACTTCCGACCACGAGAAGTCATCTAGCTATGTGTGGATGTGTATCACTCGTGTGTGTGTGTGTGTGTGTGTGTGTGAGAGAGAGAGAGAGAGGGAGAGAGTGCATGTGTATCACTCGTGTGTGTGTGTGTGTGTGTGTGTGAGAGAGAGAGAGAGAGAGCAACTGGAAATACAACATGTCTGACAGTTCACCAGAATAGCAACTCTTTTCTTCTTTGCAGCGCGCTCACACTCAATAGGGCAATAGGAATGGAAAGAAAGGGGCAGCGTCCCCCAGGAATCTCTATATTGTTTCCAAAACGTGGAAGCACAGAAGAGCTACACATATTAGTCCCAAGCTGCTTTACCAGATTGGCAACTCCTTTCCTCCTCCTTTTCTAAATTCACAGGCCATTCACACTCAATAAGGCACTCTACCGTCTTCACCCAAATATCTTCCTCCTTTTCTAAATGCACAGGCCATTCACACTCGATAACATTACCATCTTCACCCAACTACAACACCCGGTCACTGTAGCTGTATTTTGTGCAATTTTCAGTCGTGATAGTAGATACGCAAAAGTCATCCAGTCACATGCGGCAGAAAAAGGTTGTACAGGAGCAACAGTCCAGAGATGATAGGTGTTCACTCCACCCCTTCACCTCCCCGTTTTCCCATCTCCTAGTGAGTGCTGGCCATGGAAATCATGTTGCAGAACCGTCCACCACTGCTAGACGTCCATAAAACCCACAGCCAAAAAGCAGCAAAGATGGAGCACCGATAAGTGACACTTTCTCAATGTACAGGCAAGCCTCGAAGAATTGTATTGTCGAGTCTGACAATAATCAAAGCCTCATAAAGACCACCATTTACCTTCGAGGCAATGGTCGACATTGAAATGTTGATGAAATTTGCCCCTGCTTCCGTTGCAACCGCCTTCGCCAGCATTGTTTTCCCTGTCCCTGGAGGGCCGAAGAGAAGAATTCCTTTGCATGGCTGCGACATCAAATCGTCATTCCATACACAGACAACAGCAAACCCACATACCACGTATGAGCTGTCCTCGTCCAACACAATTGGTGTGCCTCTTTCTAGGGCAACAAGCATGGACAGAATACCATCTTCACCCGAACATAACGGACACGCATTGTATTCGGTTTTCTGAAAGATTCGAGAATTTGAATAGAACGCATATGCATTGCACTCGAAAATAAGGGCCCTTCGAATAGAACGCATATGCATTGGATTCGAATATAAAGCAGCCTATGCATTGTATTCGTTTACAACGCATATGCATTGTATTTGAAGAAGACGGTAGGCACTAGTACGCAAGAAGAGGGGGTTGGGGGGGTGTTGGGGGGACGTTGGAACAGTTGAACAAAAATAGTCCAACCCATCAAATAGTTGCAGTGTGTGTTGCTCTGTAAGGCAGCACTGAATGTGGCCATAAAACTACAGGAGCAGAATACAGCTTGCAAATGACTCGAGGATTAGAGTGAGATTCCTGCAACAACAGAAACACTGGGAGAGCCACACTGTTCTAACCAATAGTACCCGTGGATGCTATGGATTTCAAAACCACCATACCAGACTTGTTGCATTTCGCACGGTCTCTGGAAGCAGCCTCTTTCACGTCAAAACCCCAAGAGATCTCTCCTTTCTGAGCGCATTGGCCGGACAGCCTCCTGCGAGCTCGAGACAACACTGGAGGTTTGGGGGAATAAGAAGATTAAACCACCACTACCTCCAATGGCCTCCAAGTTCAGCAATGATGTGCAAGAAGACCTTGGCCAGCAGCGGCCACGAAAACAGAAAACTATGGTCATTGTCCGTGACTGCTGGATGCCTGGCAAGTTCAACCTTTTTCTCGAGTCATATACAACTTGTATTTGCACAAAACTTTGTGGTTTTGCCGTCTGCTGAGGTCACCAATTCAACAACATATCACCATCAAACTGACCAGCCCCAGGTACTTCAGAACCGTTTCATTCTTCAAAGATTCAAACTCGGGTCTGTTTATCAACAGTTAATGGGTGTACTGCCACGTTTACGGTTTAGGGTGTAGGGGGTTGTCCTTTACAGTCAGGCCGGGATTGTGAAAGCTCGGCCGATGACGTGAAAAAACAGTGGTTACGACAAAGAACTGTGGCTAGCAACATGAACCCTTGCGACCGCAGTCCAGCCATTGACATCAGCTGCATCAACTTTTTCTTCACCACCGTGGCACAACTCCACTGCCCAGTGGCCCCTGAGTACACCGAGCTCAAGAATCAGCAACCCTCGTGGTAATGTGGTGGTTCAATGCAGACTTGCTGTCATACACACATCAAGAATACACCTCCTTGGGTGGACACATACATACATACACATGCCGCAATTTTGTCTTCATGGCCATGGCACAATTCCCCATGGCCCTCGAGCAAACGAGCTCAAGAATCGAGGTCCCACATGGCAGAGTGGTGGGTCAATGGAGGCTCACTGTTATGCACACATCAAGCACACATCTGGGTGGACGTGCATACATGCACATGCGAGTTGTCAATGGAGGCTCACTGTTATGCACACATCAAGCACACATCTGGGTGGACGTGCATACATGCACATGCGAGTTGTTGCCTACCCTTTTTTCGCCCCCCCTAGAGGGCCCTAGTTATTGGTAGCCTTGATCAACTGTCCCTTACATAAGCTCAGGGCGTTGCAATGGAAGCATAACCACTCGGACAAAATTGGATGTTAGTCGTTGCCTACACTCCCCCCGCCCCCCCACCCCCCCCACCCCCTCTTCCTAGTTGCTGCTCATTGTTGCCTACCTTGCCTACCCTTCCCCCCAACTGTCCCTTACCACTCGGACAAAATTGGATGCGAGTTGCTGCCTA